GGCGGGGGGGGGGGGGGGGGGGGGGGGTGGCAAACATGGCGAATTGCCTGTCAACCTGCGCGGCTGCCGCGGGGAAAAAGACTCGCTTGCCGCGCGACATCATCATGGCTTGCCGCGACATTGTCGACCCCTCAGCGGTCGGCCGCATCGATTGGCCTGGCGCTGTGATGGCTGCATATGGCAACAGGCGTCATGTGAGGGGTTCATATCAATCGGAGCGTGCTCTCGACATGCTGTAGAATCGAGGGCCAGTCGGCATGGCAGAGTGAGGTCAAAGCCGGCTTATCTGGTGGCGGGGCTGCATCGAGACGCATGTCAAAGGAGAGTGAATCGCGCTTCTTCCGATGCCGCGTCCAGGTCATGAGCACTAGGATGCCAGGGGGCTGTATCAGGTCCGCGTGCTCCTATAGGTACCTCGACGCTTGGCCATGCACACTCGCTTATCGCCATGCGAGCGCGTAGCGACCAACGCCAGCTCTGCTGCTGGCCTCGGCTAGCTCATGCTCACCGAGCTTTGACTGCGTCGGCTTTGTACACTTGCGGTGCGCCTGCTCCCACGCCATTGGCTCACCCTGATGTGGGGTAGTGTGGTCCCTGCAGATACGTGCCTGCCTATGCCATATATCTAGTTCGCTTCTTGACCCACTGCCCCGCCACCTCCCCCCGGACGGCCAAGAGTCTCTCGAGCACCTTCACTCCTTCGCCCCCTATACCATACAAAGACGACCATGAGCAGCAGAAAGGACTCCATCTCGTCCATGGCGCCCGAGAGCGCCAAGACGCCGAGCGAAAAGGGCATCCAGGCCTACGCCGTCACCGATCTCGACTTGGACAACAATCCCTCCAAGCTCACCAAGATCGAGGAGGTGATCGAGGCTGAAGGCCACCTCTCCGACGCCGAGGCGCGCAAGCTGCTGCGCAAGATCGACTGGCACACGGTGCCATGCCTCATGGCCATCTACGGCCTTCAGTATGCTGACAAGGTCTCACTCGCCAACGGCGTCCTCTTCGGTCTCAAGTCCGACACACACCTCAAGGGCCAAGAGTATTCGTGGCTCACTACCATCTACTACCTCGGCTACTTCCTCTTCCAGCCCCTCATGAACTACGCCATGCAGCGCGTCGACGCCGCCTACGTCCTTTCCGCCATGACCGTCGTCTGGGGCATCGTCCTCGTCACACTCGGACTGTGCAACAACTTTGCACAGCTCATGGCGGTGCGCTTCATCCTTGGCGCCTTGGAAGGTATCGTCACCCCGGGCTTTACACTCATCGTTGCGAGTTGGTACAGAAAGTCGGAGCAGAATGCCAGGCAGCTGCTCTACTTTGCCATGAACACCGGATTCTCCATCTGGGTCTCCGTCGTCATCTACTTTATCGCAAAGAAAGCGCACGACGATGGCACCGTATCTGGCTGGAGAGTCATCAACTTCTTCCTCGGCGGTCTGACCGTATTCACCGGCTGCGTCACCGCCATCTTCCTCAGGCTGCCCAAGAATGCTTGGTGGTTGAGCGAGAAGGAGCGCACACTTGCGCATGCTCGCATCATCGACAACGGTACCGGCACCGGCGAGACGCAAGCATGGAAGTGGGACCAGGTCAAGGACGCTTTCACCGACCCCACGACCTACTTCATCTTCTTCATCAACGTTACTTGCTGCATCCCCAACGGCGGCATCACCACCTTCCAGAGCCTGATTTATCAATCTTTCGGCTTCACACCGCTCGAGACGATCCTGTACCAGCTGCCGTCGTTCGCCATGTCCTTCTGCTGGATCCTGTTCGCCGCCTTTATGATCCACAAGTTCCCCCGGCTCCGCTTCTTCTTCATGTGCTTCACCGTCATCCCGGCGTTTGTCGCCGTGCTGACCGCGGGGACGCTGCCCAACGAGCCAAGGTACCGCTGGACCCGATACGGCGTCTACCTCATGAGCGTGCTCTACGCCTTGCAGAGCTTCCTCATGTGGGCACTCATGCCCGCCATCATCGGCGGCAGAACCAAAAAGACGGTCGTAGCCACTATCTGCTTCATGGGCTACTGCGTCGGTGTAAGTGCGCCCATTTGCGATATTCATACTGGCGAAGGCATCTCACTGACACGACTCTATCTCCCTGGCGGCAACAGAACATGATCGGCCCACAGGTGTTCCGCGCATCCGATGCGCCGCGCTACATCCGAGGTCTCATTGTGGTCGCCTCGATGCTTGCGCTTGTCTTTGTGCTGTGCCTCTGCTGGCTGATGTACCTGATCGCCGAGAACAGGCGCCGCAGAAAGCGACTGGCAGAGATGGGCGTCTCGGAGGAAGAGAGGCTGCTCAAGAACAAGATCAATGGCGAACTCGATGTAAGTGTCCCCTCAGCTTATCGTCTGCTACGCCGGTCGGCCTCTGACATTTTCTGGGCTTTGTCGTTCGAACAGATGACCGACAACAAGAACATTTACTTCTTGTACGCCTGGTAGTCATGGGTACTTCTGCATGGCGCCGGTTGGGAATGTAGATCACCGATTGTACAGTCACAAAGCAGTTGTTGGTTTTCCCGTGTGCGTGTGCTGTGGCTGGCGTGGGCGGGTGGCTGGACGTGTCGGCGGTGGCTGGATGACAGAAGTGGCGCCGAACTTTCGCCGAGCACGTGAATTTGACCGGCGCGGCAGGCGCAGCACAGTTGCAGCTGCTCTGTCAACAAAGTCGTGTTTGTGGGGAGTAGCGTGTTACATCCTCTGGTGGTCAAACCTCCGGCGCTCGACGTGGGCGAAGAAAAGGGTTTGGCGGTCGGTAGAACTTCCAACGGGACAAAAGGGTGCCCGGCTTTGCCCCACTCCGAGCGGGAGAAATTGCGGAGTCAAGCATCACAAATTGCCTTCTCGTCATGCTCTGCTGCCGATTGGGTGGGTTCGAGGTACAGGGTCACCGGGTGCGCGTAGCTTCGCCGGTGTGGGACGTCGATAAGCGGTCTCATACGATGGACACTTTGCCGGCCTGGCTTGAGCTTTGGTGGCTTCGGGAATCTCCACGCCACTCAAGCAAAGTCAGCAGCCGTTGCAGCTGCAGTCGACAGACGATTCGTTGCACGACAGCTGGTGCGTGGGAAACAAGATGCCATGATGAGCGTTGCCGCAAGGCTTCTGCTTCATTCCAGCTGCCATCCAACGGGGCACGTGAGAAAGCCAAAAATGAAGACGGCCGGGACGGATCGCGGGACGGCTATCGTCTGCTTGGATGTCGCCACGCGCACGCGCACGCTCACGCACGACCGAGCAAGCAGCGAGCATTGCTTGACACTAGCGCACGTCATGATCGCTGGGAACGTCGCTTGTACACAATGCGCCCTCGGTATGGCGCCAAAATAGCAATCGACTCGGTTGCATCGCTGCCTCCACGCTGGTCGTGGCACGGGCAGCTTAGATAGCCGGACTGGCCGCGTCGCCCTTCATGCTCAGCTCTTTGGTGCGACTGTGCTCCGCGGTTTAGAGATTTTTCTTCGCGGCTCAGCCGGGGAGCAAAAAGACGTCGGGGTTTTAAGCGGTGCCTGGCTGTACGCCGAAGCTGCTCCGTCTCGGTCCATTCGCCCATCCTCGCTTGCCCTTGGCATCCCCCGCTCCCAGCTCATCCCACGTCGCCGTTGTTCCGCAACCTAATCGCGCTGTCGCCCATCGCCTTGTACACCTCGTTTCCAAGTCGACCGATTTCTGAGATGCTGTGTCGCTTTGTCGCTGGGAGGCGGGAATGAACCGCCGCCCGGTCGAAAGCTTTGAAGGGAGCGGGGTGGGGTCGATTTGTGAATGTCGGCTTGAATTCGCCGGTATATGGAATCGACCGGACGAGGCTCGGTGCAGCGTTGGTTGGGCCGGCAGGTCGGCCCGTCGAGGCGAGTTGTCCGAGCAAGACCGCGCAGCAGCTCCTGCTGCTGTTTCACTCCTCTTTGCTTCGACTCCGGTTACATCCACCCGAGCTGTCCAGCTCGCCGACAGCCTGGCGCATACCCCGCTCTTTTCACCCCACCCGCTTCATCGTGCTGCTCCCTTGCATTCGTCGCCAGCCCCAGCTAACCCACCCCCTTCCCACTCCAACTCCGCCGCCTTCTGGCCCACACGGCACACAAACAGCTTCATCCCCGCACAACCTGGTTGTTCCGCCCCTGCTTTGCTCTCGCCCTGTCGTACCCCACCGCATTGCGCTTTCCTGTGGATCGTGCTACCGTCGCCTCCGTACGCACCTGCTTGACTCTCCGCCATCACCATCATCTGCACATCAAACGTTCGCGTCTATACGCATCGTCATCGCCGTGATCACCGTCGACCTGATCGCAAGAGTTTCTCGTCCGGCGACGGCTTCGTAATGTGCTAGCACCTAACGTCGCCTATTCCAACCCGAGCATTTCGCATCGTCGAGCGAGGCATGTCTTCCACCTCTTGCGTGTCGCCGACATCGAACACGCTTCCGCGCCGACCGTCGCCCCACCTCCTCGTGTCCGAGCCACGCACGACGCTCTTCGACGCGGCTTCGTCGTTCCAGACGCTCATCGAGGCGCAGGCGTGCATCTCGTCGACCCACTCGGCATCTTCTGAATTACTCTCGATCGCAGAGTCGCGCTTCCCGCCCTCAACGCTGCCCATCTCGACGCTCACCAACATCGTCCACGCTTCCAGCACCAGTGGCAGCGCAACGCCCTCGACTGCCTCGTCGTCCAAGTCGTCCTTCTCGTCCGCCTCGTCGCTCTCCACCTCGACTTCGGCCATGGGTGATGCAGCGGCTGCGACCGCGCCCGGGCTTGACCTGCTCGGCATCCTCGCCGAGGAGGTCGACTGGGACCCGCAGCAGCGCGGTTCGCCTGGCTCGGCTCAGCTCGCACTCGTCGGCCACACGCTCCAATCGCACCACGAGGCCAAGCAAAAGAGCTGGGCCACGCACATCCTCGGCAGTCTCGGCCTGGTCGAGCCCGACTCGGCGCGCAAACGCAGCTTCTCATCGCTCACCGCCCCCTTCCCAGCCGAGCTCCGCGAGGCTAGTGTCAAGGCTCACATCCCGGCGCTCCTGGCCGAGCCCGATGCCAAGCCTGCCCGCCCTTGCGCTGCAGCCAAGCCGACAAGCGCCGACCCTCTAAACACCATGGTGCTCACCAAACGCACCGCGCTCTTCTACGAGAAGCTGTACGACCGCTTGTGTCCGGGAATTGTGCCGCGCGCCTACATCTACCCAAAGCTGGGCAGGAGATCGCATGACCAAGACCCCACATTCGCCGGCCTGGCGCTCTCCATCTCGCTCCTCGGCATGCTCGGTCTCACTCTCCCGCGCCCGGCCGCGACCGAAGACGGGCAGAGGCCATTTGCGATGCCTGCAATCCCGCGAGACAAGCACTCAAAGTCGAAGGGGAAGCGCGAGACTGTGGAAGAGGCAGCACGCATCATCGAGGCCGTGCTGGCGCTCCGACTCTCGGCGCCCGGAGGCGGTGCGGGCTTCGGCCAGTCGCCGACGCTCGAGACGGTGCTGACGAGCTTCTTCCTCTCGGTGGCGCTGTACAGCCTCGACGATGCGGCGGACGACGACGAGTGGCCGAGCTTGTGCGCGTGGCGCGATGCAAGCTTCTTCCGCTTCTGCGAGGCCATCACACTCGTCAAGATCCTCGGATTCGACCAGCTCGCCCAATCCGACCCAGGTGAACAGACGTCCGACGAGGCTAGCGTCGTGCTGCTGCTCGCGCGTGCCGAGAGGTGGTGGGCCGAACAACGGCCCGAGTACCTGTGCCAGCTGGAGGTGGGCCCTCGTGCGGCGCCGGCGAGGAAGCGCAGTCGATCCGAGGCGCGGGAGGAGGCTGCTCCGGTGAAACGCAACAAGCAAGAAACGCTGGCTGAGCCGCTGGCTGAGCCTCTGTCGCTGTTGATCCCGCTCGGATTTGCAGGCGTACGCAAGGCCTTGCTGCAGAAATTTGCCCTAAGCATGGATTGCTGGACAGGCCGCTGCAGGCGCGGACGCGAGTGTCGGCTGGCATCGCACGTAGCAGTTCGGATCCACGATGCACTTGGCACCCTCGAAAACGTGCGCCGTCGTCAGGACAGCGACGATCCGATCCTTGTGGATCTCGCAAGGCAGGCGCTGCGCGCACAGCTCTGGATCGCTTGTCTCAACCACGGCCTTGTCGATCCGCGTGCAGAGGCGCCGCTGCGGCCCGACCAACCACTCCACGTCGCTCTCGATACACTCGACCTGCTGGAGGACCTTCACCATCTGTTGCGCCTGCAGCGCTCTACCAGCGCCGTTGCAGATGCGGTGCGAGAGGCGCTGCACACCGTCCGCGAATGCGTCGCCCTGCTGCCTACAGGCAAGTTCGCCACGCATCCATTCGCGTTTGAGCAGATCCAGGCAGGTGACGAGGGCGATTCGCCACAGCCCGACTCGCCATCGAGCGACGACGGTCAGCCCGCCTCCAACTCGACCACCATCACGCGTGCAGCGCAGTCGGTCATGGACAACCTCGACCGCTTCCTCCAGCGCCAAGTCACTTAGAGCGCTTCTCTCCCCGGTCTCTCCATCGCATCCTGTACATTAGATCCCCTTTCGTAAGACACGGGTTGATTGCACACAGCTTCGCTGGTCCAGGTAGAATCGTTTTGGGCTCCACGCAGCCTTGCCGTGCTAGCATTGAGAGAGGTGTGCTGGTATTGAATAGGACAATGTCGAGCAACTTGCAAGGCTATACCTGGCGCCTGACATCTTTGCCGATCACGGGTCTTTCCCTTGCTGGTTTTCTGAGGCTGTCGAGGTCCTCCTTGCCGAGCAGCGCTTCTTCGAGGCGCTTGTCGTCGTTGAGTTCGCGGTCGAGCGCCTGGTCGACGCGCGTCTCGAAGCCGGTGCGATCCTTGTAGGCCCTTTCCTCGGCCCTGTTCTGCTGCCACTGCGTGGGTGCTCGACCTGGAAGCGTGGTCACTGTTCCATGCTGCAGCGGTGCATCGGTCGGAGTGGCAGGGGGCGCCGGTACGGAAGCGGCCGCTTTTTGGCCGTAGTAGAACGACCCAGCAAGCGCAGCGAGAACCGTGAGGCCCTGGAAACCTACACGCCAACGGAGCGCTTTGTTGAACTGGTCTCGATTGCCCGTACGCAGGTGGTTGGACGCAGCGATCAGCGCGCCGCACGTCAGCAATGATCCTGACGACGCATCAAAGCATTCAAGCACAGAAGCATCAGTTCAGTCCAAGTCATAAAGCCGCAACGAGCTCCACGTGGACTTACCGATGGGCACAAGCGGCTGCTCCTTCATCTTGCGGAAAAACTTGTCGCGCGGCGCCTCGGGCATCTCGGAGCCCATGCCGTTCTCGAACGCTGAAACGTATCCACCATACCCGGACGGGTCGCCGGGCTGTTGCTGCTCGACAGCCAGATCCGAATTGGGCTGCCCCGACATGGTTGCACTCTCGTTCGTTTCAAGCCTCAAAGCTTCTGCCTATCGGTTGATATTTAGAGTTGGACACGCTCTTTCGTCGATGTGTCGAGCTGTCGATGTCGTTGGTGGTGGGTGAAGTACGAGCGACAGGGTGCAGAAGTGTCGCTGACCAAGACAACCACCTGTTCTCGTGGGCCATGGCTCGAAAAAAAGTGGAGGCGGCCCGATCTCACAAATTGGGATCTGCCGATATTCCATCCCGACCCTCGCTCGGTTTGCTGCTGCGAGGACTTCGAGGCAGCTGCACGCAAAGGCATCGGGATCCAGCCTTGCTGCGCACACGGCCGCCACTTCACACCGACTCGGAAAGAGACACAAGACTTGCGAGATATCTATGACGTTGGGTTCGTAGGTCCAGAGGACATGTGCGGGTACAAAGTACAAATGCGTGACGAGCATGAAGGGTTTCATGAGACGCAAGGGCGGAACAGGCTTAGCCGATGGGCTCGCATGTGAACGAGCCTCGGACGGTGCCCTTTGCATACTGGTCGATAATGTCCTTGACCGATGCGTAGGTACCACAGCCAAGAATGAGCAGGCCGAGAAGGAAGACGGCGGCGTTGATGACGCTGAGGATGGTGTTCCAGCGCGTAGCGTTCCACTTGCCCTCCTTGATAAGCAGGAACCACATGAGCGCAGGGAAGTAGAAGGTGAAGCCCGAGATGAAGAGTGCCGACATGATACCGAGCAGATCCGAGAAGAAGGGGATGGCCTCGGCCACCACCCAGGCGATGACAGTGACGAGCGCAACCAGACCGAGCCAGGTCGCCCAGCCCATGGGCGTGTTGACGTATCGAATGACCGAGTTCTTGAAGACACGGCCGTGAATGTAACGGGCGACGACGGTGGTGTTGATGGAGCCCGAGATGAAGATGACGGGCAGCGCAATGCCGAAAGCCACCTTGCTGAGCGTGGTGCCAGCCGAGAGGAGGGCGGGCGACCTGACGTCGGCACCGACAAAGGCGTAGATGAGCGCGCCGGTGAGCGTGTAGATGACAATCTCGATGATGCCGAGGGCCCAGATACTCTTCACGTAGTCGGTGGGCGTGTGCATTTCGTCCATGAACGAGAATTGGCAGACGGCGAAGGAGTAGGCGAAGACGATGTTGGTGAGAGCGACCCAGGCATCGGCAAAAGTGGTGCCCTCCTTGGGCCAGGCAGACCACTGTGCGGGCATGAGAGACTGGGGTTCTTGGTGGGACCTGACTCCCGTGCCAATGATGGTCACGCCGATGGCAACGATGATGGAGGCGAAGTCGATGTAACCGAGCACCGCAACCTCGGAGAACGTCGGTGGCACAGCGACGATGAAGAGAATGATGGCCGAGATGACACCAAAGACGAGCGAGCAGATGGCGTTGCTGCTGAGGTTGAGGAAGGCGATGGTTCCGGTGAGACAGTGCGATCCGACGAGGAGAGTGAGCTGGAGGGCAAACATGGCACCGATGAGCTCGTAGCCAAAGCGACCCATCATGAGCTGACCGGCGTCGGCGTAGTGCGAAACCTGAGGGAACTTGATCTTGACCTGGCCGACAATGTAGCTGGTGTAGATGGCGATGATGCCCACACCGATGCACACGATGACGCCGGCGACCATTCCGAGCGTAGCAAATGCCGAGGGAATGGAGAGCGCACCGAGAGCAATGGCCTCGACGATGAGGCAGATGGTGAGCTTCTTCCAACCGAGACGGTGGAACTTGTGGTCACCCTCCGACCTCTTTTGCTGCTCGTACATGTAGTCCTCTTCGCTGCGATACTGCTCTCGCTTCTCGCCAAACATGGTCTGCTCCACGGAACCAGGCTCGGTCACCTTGGCAGAATCATCGTGCTGCTTGATCGAGTCCGGGCGTCCCGACTTCTCGACGTCGACGGTCTGGGTAGGCGAGACCGATCCACTCGATCTGTCGGGCATCGGAGTCTGTTGTCCTGTGGAAGCCATGATGGAAGGATTATGCGAAAGGCTAGCGTTGAAGGTGGGTAGGGAAAGGTGATAGTCGTCGAGATGTGGGGTGTGGTGATGAGGGGAAACGCAGCTCTGCGAGGCACAGCCAAGGAACGGGAGGGGGAGGGCTGGCAAAAGGAGGCCGATACAAATAGGACTTTGGGTGTGGATGCGGAGGCGAGGGAGTAAAAGGGTGGTGGGGGAAGGAAAGGGGAGGCCACGAGATTGGGAAGCGGCAAATGACGCAGAAGGGGCAGGGTCGGGTGCGTTCCAGGTGTGGAGAGAGAGGAGGAAAGGAGGGAAGAGGGTGGGAAGAGGGATTAGTGCGCGCAGCGACAGCTGTTTGGCTAGGACCCGACGACACCTGCGCAAAGCTGCGCCGACAATCTCAGTCTCTTGGGGCTAGCTCTGTCTTATCGTGAGGCCCCTGTTCAGTCTGGGTCGGACGACTATCTCAAGTGGGAGCATTTGAACAATCGCGCCGCGCCTTTACATGAAGCAGATGGTGGGATCTACCCGAAGCCGCGACAACGCCGATGCGGGCGGGCCGCGATGGGGTGTTGGTCTCCGCCGTCCGGCGTCCGCCGACGCTCGTATCAGGCCTAGTGCACACCTTGATGTTGGACACAGTATTCATAGCAGGCGCTTTCTCCAGTAGCTCTACGGGGATATGAGCGTGGGAGGTGGGGCGGCACTCGCTGCTCATGGGGCAGAGGCGCCGCTGACGGCCAAAGCGATCATGCGTCAGTCGGGTCGAGCTTTCTTGCGCACTCCGCCGAGTCAGCAGCTACCATCCGCTGCAAGCGGTAGAGTGCACAGGTCGGCCATCGGCTCTGCCGAACACTACGAACGTCGAGAAAATTTCCGGCATGGAGGCGGCATCCCTAATTATTTTTTTTTCCTCCAACCCGTGACCGACGGAATGCGAAAATGTCCGAATGCGCTTCGGGCTGCTGCTCCCGTAGCTGCTGCCCCGTAGGAGTTCGGCTCTGACTGGCGAGCGGCCAGGCGAGGCGAGCCAATCCAGCCTCGTCGAAACGTCACCCACCCCACGCTTATCACCCACCTTTGAAGCGTTCGAGCAACAACAAATTCGGGTCGACCGACGCAGCAGGGTCTCGAGATCCATGCTCAAGGTTGGCAACCTTGTCCACACTGTGTATTCCACCAATCGCAGCTCAGTCGCTTATCTCGAAAGGGTGGGGAGAAACGCTTGAGCCGACATGAAAGGGCGACGGCTTGCTTCACACTTCATTCATGTGCAGGAAGCGCCGAGAGCAATCGCATGCGCGGTCATCTGAGCGACATGCGGGCAATACCGTTCTCCAGCGAGCTTTCGCAGGACTTCAAAAGGTGGGATGAGGGTGCCTTCCATTGGACGGCAGGCTTGTAGTGCTCGGGTCGCTTTCGGTGGGCGGTCTGAGTCTGGCTGCAGCAGGCACGGTCACGCGTAAGTCGGGCTTCGCCAAACTTGCCACAAAGTGCATCCGAGGGTCGGGAAACCCAGCAAATGGGCTGAGTAGCCAATCATCAGAGTTGGCTCATCAGAGAGTGCGCGACGATTGGCCAGCCGTCGTGCGCGGAGAGATGAAAGCATTTTGGTTCAAAAGTTTGGCCTGCATGATCTGCATAAGCCATCGTTCCGACAAGCTCAACCTCCTGCGCCTTGGTCGCGCTGTTCTTGGTTGTGCCGTGGTCGTCACGATGGGCTCCACCGCAGCTGGCGGCCCCAGGCTCGTAGAGGTACAGACCGCGCGATTCGGACTAAGCGGTGTGGAGATGGGCGCAGCAGCAGTTGGCCATGGGATTTCCTCTGGACCCGGTGACGTTGCCTGCATGAACACTCTCTCCTCCAGAGCCATCATCGAAAAAAGTTTCGGTTTTTTGAGCCCGAAGCGGCTCGCTTAGCGGAGTCGGCGGCAAGTGTCAAAAATCGCAGCCCGCCGAAATCTGTCTCAACGAATCGGCGGGGCGTCCGGTTGGCTCCCCAAGTGACACACGTCGCGCTGGAAATCGGCTCCAGCCTGCCTCGGGACAAGTCGATGCATTGCCAACAGAAAGACCATGCCAAGCACAGGCAGAAGTTCCTCTATGGCCGTGCAGCAACATGGGACGAGGAGAGTGGTTCTGCCGGTCGTAAGTGCGACCCAACGCGCAAATTCGATTCGACGCAAGGACATGCAAGCCCTGCTGATCACATCTAGCTGCTTTCATGCACTACGGCAGAGCGACGCGCTTGACACGAAAAAAAAAATTCGCCGAATGCTGCAGACCTTGGAGACGCCTGCGGAGAATTTGCAGAAGTCGCGCTTCGCCACGCTTCATCCCAACCTTGTTTGTTCTTTTCTCTTTCTCCCTCGCATGGCCTTCTGAGGGTCATTCTGGAGAGATCATCTCGTATATATTGTGATAGGACAATGGCTGCATTACAAGCATTTAGGAGCTGAGATCGTGTCGCTCGGAATCAGGATGGCGTGCAGCACGCCCAGGAAGTGTCAGAAATTCGAGTTGTTGGCCGGCGCCGCAGCGAGGTCACAGGACGCTGCACGTTCGCCCCTAAAATCGCTTTTCCGACCTTCTGAGCAAGTCGCATCACTAAAGCATGCCGATCAATCCCACCTGACTCGACTTTCGGGGTCCCACCTGGATGTCTCCGTCTCCACACCTCCGCTGCTGCCTAGCACCTTCCGTCACCTCGCGTGGCTCTTTCCGTTCCGAGAACGGTGCGAGGTCGCAAAATCGAGACTTGGCCGCGGGTGACGCTGCTTCGCCGAAATGCTCCGTTGCGCGGCTGTGGGTAAGGAAGCCTGCCACCCAAATCCGGTCTCGGACGAGCTCTAGATTCTGCAAGGTCCGGACTCTCAGGGCATTCAAAAAGCTTGAGCTTGTGAAGAGACTGAAGCCGCCGGATTGAGGACTAGAACCACGAGGATGACTACCATGCGTTCCTTTCACCTTGACTGTCCAAAAAAAAGTCAGAACAAAAACTAGGAAAAAAGACGGAAAATGTTCGAATCCAAAAAGTGCAAAAAGTATCCTCCCAACGTGGGGCTCGAACCCACGACAT